CTGGGGCCTCCCGGCTCCGAGGCGCGGACTCCCGGGGTCTGTGCCTCACCGGCCGCGTTCCTTCGGGTGCTTGGGCCTCGGGAGAGCGGTAAAGGGGCTTTTTTTTATTTTATGTTTTTAACGGGAGGCCTGCCAGGAATAGGCTGAGAAGAGCCGGCGAGGGACACACTCTAACAGCTGTGTGTCGCTTCTTCAGGCGGCTGATTCTCGGACGTGGCTTCGTATCAGAAAACCAATCAACTGAGGGCTCTTTCAAAGCCGAGATAGGAAGACCACACCCCAGACCTGCGTCAGGAAGTGGGGGAGAGGCTGAAGGATGTCGAAAAGGCGCCCCGGCCGCTTGCGATGGGCTTCGGCTCGGGCAGTCGCCGGGCGCGCCGGGCGGCAGCGGCCTGACACTGCGGGTAACAAGCTTTCAGGAAGGGTGGTCTTTCTGTGAGAACAAGTGCTTTGGGGGTTTTTTATGCACCGTAACGGTTGTTTTAATGTTAGGATCCTGAAGTGTTTCTATTCTCTGAGCTGAGATAAATCCTTAAAGGAAGGCACTAGAAAACGTTTTTGATTTATTTTTTTCAAAAATATTGACCTCTACTGTGTATTGAGTAGTAGTGTTTTAGAGACTCTAGGATTAGAGACGGCAGAGCGCGAAAGAGGTCCTTGCCTTCAAGGAGTTTGCAATCTATGGAGGAAAAAGAGTGAAGAAATAAAATGGAGTCACAGTAGTCAAGCTGCTAAGTTACTAAAATCAAGTAGGTTGAGGAATGAGGAAACGGTTCTATTCTTGTTTTAACTAGCCTAGGAACTTAAACTTTTGGACTTTCCAGTCCTGCAGCCATGCTTGGACATACATTTAGACCTCCAGGTAACCCTCTTGTTACCCCCTGAAGGACTCACCAATTGGGACCACCTGACATCTGACCGATAACCATCCTGGAACAATCTTAGGGCTAAGAATGAAGCCCTAATTAGACTCAAGAATGTATTTCTTACTATAAGAACTCAACTTTTCTTCTTCGGAACACTTCTGGGGTTTTGCCTAGTTGTGTTTCCAGTTTGCAAACCTTGAGACCCTTGAATAAATCTATCATTTATTTCTAGCCAAAGCCTCCAAACTCTTTTTGAGTTCTTTAAACATTAATGGAGGAAGACTGAAAATAAATGTATGCCAGGGAGCAATAAGTGCTATGGGGGGAAAAATAAGCAGAGTAAAAGAGATTAGAGATGATGGGGGGAAGCCTCCGTTGATAGGTGAACGAGCCTGTGGCTCTCTTGCAGAAGAGTGTTCCAGCCAGCGGAACAAACAGTAAGTACTAAGGTCCTGAGGCAGACAGATTCTTAGCTTGTTAGAGGAACAGCAGGGAGTGAGTGAGTACAACTGGAGCGGCTTGAAGAAGGGAAAGAGAAGCAGAATGTGAGATAAGTAAGGGGAATCTATCCAATGGGAAAGTAAACACTAAAGTGGTTTAACATCACCATTTTAAAAGTGCATAAAAAAAAAAAGTTATGTTCTGTTAAATATTCAACATGAAAAGTACAGTGTTATTGGGAATGTTTTAATGAGATGACTGGAAGTTTGAATTTTATTTTTTTCCCCCAACTGGTTTACCTGGTAGACCTGGATGTAAAACAACATTATTAAGAAGAGACAGGTTATAGACAGAATCACTGCATCCAAAAACTACATACAGTCTGGCTCAGGTGGCTCAGCGGTTGAGCATCTACCTAGGATCCAGGAGATCCCAGTTTGATTCCCCGCCAGGGCGCATGCCTGGGTTTCAGGCTCCATGCCCACCAGGGGGCATGCAGGAGGCAGCTGGTCAATGACTCATCATTGATGTTTCGCTCTCTCCCTCTCCCTTCCTCTCTCTGAAATCAATAAAAACATGAAAACAAACGAAATGTGTTCCTCAGTTACAAATATGGAAAGAGAAAACCAGAATGAACGCTGCAATGCTGGGTTGGAATTGTATCTATTTGTCCTCATGGGTGACAAAATATAGAGATAGTTACAGAAATATAGACATAAATGTGTTTGTATATGTAGGAGAGGCAAAAACTTTCCTTCTACCTGCTTAAGGTCTCTCTGACTGAGCCTGAGAATTAAATGGACATTAACAGGAGAGCATACAGTTTTATTTAATACAAGTTTTTACATGACATGGAAGCCCTCATAAGGAAATGAAGACTTAAAGTAGTGACAAAACCTAAGGGCTTATATATTAGGTTGAAACAGAGGCAATTGTGGAAATGTAACTAAAATATACGGGAGAGTAGAGAAAGGCAAGAGTGATTTTAACAAGGTCTGTTTGTATACAAAGTTCCCTCAGCCTTGACTCCCTGTCTCTGGTGATAAAATGTTTCTTCCCCCAGATATAGGGAAGGCATCTTTCACATGGGAGTTTCGTCTTCTGTTTTCAGGAAGAAAGAGGGAAGTCAGAGCACCCTTCTTGCACCTGCTGTTTTTTAAATGCCTTTTGCTCAAAATAACCCTTATGCTGCAATGGCATATTTGGGGGTGGCATATTCTGCCACCCTTCATAAATATGAGTGGATAAATGTGTATATAAATACATATAATCCTTAGGCCTGTCCACTGACAGGTTTGGGAGCAACAATACCCCCAAGAGCAACAAATACAGTTGGCCAGGTCTTGATTTTTGAAAACCCCTCTGCCTGGCCGGTGCGGCTCAGCAGTTGAGCATCGACCTAGGATCCAGGAGATCACAGTTTGATTCCTGGTCAGGGCACATGCCCG